TAATTCAGCTTTAGGGCACATATGCTCATGGTTTAAGATTGCTTAACTTTTTCATTTCTACTCTGCTATCAGTACCGATTCAATTGACCGAGCATGGAAGATTTTGGACCAAATTCCCGGAAGAGCAACTGGTGCTTACAGTCACAGCCAGGTTTGCCATCAGAGTCTAGTTTAAAGTCCTAAACCCTTTCTTTAGATGGTCTTTATGTTGCTGAATGATTCCTTTTTTTTCTGCGTCAGGGTATCAAGGGGTTACGTGATGTAATTGCAGCTGGAATCGAAGCACGTGATGGCTTCCCTGCTGATCCAAATGATATTTTCTTGACTGATGGTGCAAGTCCAGCGGTAACAGTCAAAACAAAACATTATCTCATAGATTTAGAGCAAGTTCTTTTAAAGGGTTCATGCTAAGTGATTTATACTGACTCTTTATTCTATAGGTTCATATGATGATGCAACTTCTCTTGAGCTCAAAGAAAGATGGTATTCTTTGCCCAATTCCTCAGTATCCATTGTACTCTGCTTCAATTGCCCTTCATGGTGGATCTTTGGTATGTTCATATAATCATTATGGATTAATGTTGTTTTTGGTACAATTTTTTTTCATTTGTCTTTATTTTGATTGTAAATTTACTACTTAGGTTCCGTACTATCTTGATGAAGCAACCGGATGGGGACTGGAAATATCTGACCTTAAGAAGCAACTGGAGGAAGCTAGGTCGAAGGGCATCGCTGTAAGGGCCTTGGTTGTCATAAACCCCGGTAACCCAACTGGGCAGGTACAAACAGATTTTCAAGACTAGGCTAACAAAATGTAACATTTCTCTAATTTTGCGTTCTTTGTTCTGGTTAAGGTTCTTGCTGAAGACAACCAGCGTGACATTGTTAATTTCTGCAAGCAAGAGGGTTTAGTTCTTCTAGCTGACGAGGTCTACCAAGAAAATGTTTACGTCCCTGACAAAAAGTTCCATTCTTTCAAGAAAGTAGCTCGGTCTTTGGGCTATGGCGAAAAGGATATCTCGTTAGTCTCGTTCCAATCAGTTTCCAAAGGTAAATGAACAACTTTTTTATTGTTCAAGCTTGTCATCTAAAAAATGGGGTTTTCTTTTGAGTTTTGACAGCTTAATTCTTTTTCTGCTGACAGGTTACTATGGAGAATGTGGAAAGAGAGGAGGTTACATGGAGGTGACCGGATTCACTTCTGATGTAAGAGAACAGATATACAAAATGGCTTCCGTGAATCTGTGTTCTAACATCTCTGGTCAAATTCTTGCTAGCCTTGTCATGAGCCCACCCAAGGTAACAGACTAGTTCTCTCTAATCGGCTTTCGCTAAGTTCTTGCAACCGATTATGACTAATCAGTCCAATATGTATTTGATCAGCCTGGTGATGACTCATATGACTCATACATGGCAGAAAGAGATGGAATTCTCTCATCCATGGCTAAACGTGCAAAGGTTAGTCGAAGATTACAGTACCCTCTAAAGACCTTTTTTGAGTCTCTTTGTATAATGTCACAAGCTTGACAATGAACTTGCAGACTTTGGAAGACGGTCTCAACAGTTTAGAAGGTGTTACATGTAACAGAGCGGAAGGAGCGATGTATCTCTTCCCGCGAATCAACCTTCCTCAAAAGGCGATTGAAGCTGCTGAGGCCGAAAAAACTGCGCCAGATGCGTTCTACTGCAAACGCCTTCTCAATGCTACTGGTGTAGTTGTAGTCCCTGGTTCTGGCTTTGGACAGGTAAATGAACCAAATCTTCACAATTGAAAAACTTTTAATGTTTTGGAAAGGATTAAAGTTGAATCTTTGTGTTTTGGATTCACTGTGGTTAGGCTCCTGGAACATGGCACTTTAGATGCACAATACTTCCACAAGAAGACAAGATTCCGGCGATAGTGAATCGCCTCACAGAGTTCCACAAGAGCTTCATGGATGAGTTCCGCGACTAAAAAACCTGACCATGATGATGAACTTAAAGACCTTTTGAGACAAGTGTGATCAGTTTGAGTTATTTAAAAAAAAAAGAAGGCTTATGTTTTGAATTTGATCAGGCAATTGTGGTCAGCTAATTTAATTTTAGAATATTTTGTACTCCATGGCATGCCAATTTAAGATATGAAGATATGAAAATTGAGTAAATTGGATTTTTTTGTTATTATTGGGCTTTTTAATGGGCCTGAAATATATGATTTTTCATATGAATTTGTTCAAGTAAATTATCTTCAACTTTTCTCTATTTTTCCATTTTGGCGAATTTTCTCAAGAAAAAGAAAAAAAACAAAATCAATGTGGCGGAGATCACCGTCGTTTATCCTCGACGAGCGACGAAGCTCGAATTCACCTCCCATGGCCGATACAACAAGAGGTCCCTTTCAAAACTCTGATTCCATCTCCGCTTATTACCAAACCCGAGCGGCGCATCACGGTGTCATTACAAGCGACTGGCTAGCCCAAGCTCAAGCCGCCGTGGGCGGCGTCTCAGGCGAAGAGCAATCTCTCTCATCCGACAATCAGCTGGGAACGGAGAAGTCTTTTAATGTAATTGAAGAGTTCAACAACTGGAGAAAGCAACCGGATCTGGCTGAAGCCGTCGCGGCTATTCGAGCTCTCGCTGCCGTTATTCGTGCGAGTGAAGCTAGCACTATGATGGAGCTTGAAATTGAGCTCAAAAAGGCTTCTGATACACTCAAAGTGAGATTCTTTTTTCACTTTCTGTTTCATTCCTCGATGCAATTTTTGTGTGCTTTGTTGATTGAGAAATGTTCAATTTTGGGCAGTCATGGGACAAAACATCAATCTCTTTGACTGCTGGATGCGATTTGTTTATCAGATACGTTACGAGAACCTCTGCTTTAGAATACGAAGATTTCAATTCAGCTAAGTCTCGTCTTCTTGAACGTGCTGAGAAATTTGGGGAAATATCTTGCAAGGTACTTCCTTATATGGCTCCTGTGGCTCATATTTAGTAGTTTTTTTTACATATATCAATGAAGTAGATCATCAAAATGTATTTTGATTAGAAGAGGATCTATAAAGGTTCGATTTTTGTGCAGGCTCGTAGGATTATCGCAATGCTTAGTCAAGATTTTATATTTGATGGTTGTACCATATTGGTTCATGGACTCTCTAGAGTTGTTCTTGAAATACTAAAGACTGCTGCACAAAACAACAAGCTTTTTCGAGTTCTCTGCACAGGTTCGCTTTTCGAAAACACCCTTTTTCTCTTAAACAACAAGCTTAGATTGGAACTTGAGTTGTATCCGCTTAATGTTTCTTGGTTTCTCTGAGGCATTTTGTTGCATAGTCTTGACCTTAGTTATAAACTCTGTCTCTTTATGATTTTGTAGTATTAGTAGCCTTTCACTGAACTATTTTAATGTAAAAAATGACAGAGGGAAGGCCGGATGGAACAGGAGTTTTGTTATCAAGTGAGCTATCGAAGCTCGATATCCCAGTGAAACTACTGCTTGATTCAGCTGTGGCGTATAGCATGGACGAGGTAGACATGGTGTTTTTCGGGGCAGATGGAGTTGTAGAAAGCGGCGGTATTATCAACATGATGGGAACATACCAAATCGCACTCGTGGCCCACAGCATGAACAAACCGGTCTATGTCGCCGCCGAGAGTTACAAGGTAATTGAAACAGTTTTATAAGATCCCAGAGAGAGAAAGAGAGTGGTTAATGATACAAAGTTGTGTATTTGCAGTTCGCTAGGCTTTATCCATTAGACCAAAAGGACATGGCACCAGCGCTGAGACCAATCGAATTTGGTGTAAAGATTCCGACAAAGGTGGAAGTAGAGAGGTCAGCTCGAGACTATACTCCGCCTCAGTACCTAACGCTCCTCTTCACAGACCTTGGCGTTCTCTCTCCCTCTGTAGTTAGCGATGAGCTTATTCAACTCTATCTCTAATTTCAACTCCTAATTAAATAACTAATTATTTATTACTTTTGCTTCTGACAGTGAAAACTTTCAATATTGAGCCTTTAAAGATCTTCTAAGTTCATGTTTTGAACTTCAAAATTGAGTTAGTTTTTTTTTTTTTTTCGATTTCAAGCATTCGATTTATCCGGGTTAGCACATAAAATGGACTCGTCTCATTGTTAATGTCATCTAACCCGCCAGTTGGCCCAGTTCTCCGGTAACCAGTTTCCGATCCTGGTATTGACACCGTTAACTTTAAACAATCAATCATCTATTGAAGTAGCCCCTTATTACTCTTTTTACTAGATACTATAAACATGTACAACATACCCAGTGTCGGCCCGGTAAATTTGGGTGCCCTAAACAAAATTAAAGCCATAAAAAAAAAAATTCTTTTAAATTAGAGTTTTACCATTAAAAAGAATGTTGTAGTTGTCTCTAAAAGCCAACAATATTTTTAAAAGGCCCTACAAAAATTATTGTATATAAGAAAACTTAACAAATTTTTAGGTAAAAAGGCCCTCAAATTTTGAGGTCCTAATCGCTGGCTTCGGTGGCTTGCCCTCTGCGCCGGCCCTGAACATACCTAATCCTCAGTACTTGTGGTTCCAATTTTTTGTGACATGATTTAGATTATGACTTGTTTTGTATGTGGAATTTAGTTCTAATAAGAACCTCTGAAGGATCAACGTCACCATGATTCCAATCCTCAAGCCAGAATTATTACAACCATTGACGAGCTAACCTCAATTCTAGCCAATGGTTCAAGAAAATATTACATCATTTTTATATAAAAAGAAAACGTTGGATAAATATTGCATTACAAAAAAATAAACAAGAAAGACAAAAACACAAGCTCATAAAATAAAATCAGTATTATTAATAAGCTACCTCCATATTTAAGAAAATGGAAATATGGATTTCAATTTCCGCGGAATACAAAAATTTTTTCAATCTTAAACTTGAAAGCATTAGTTAATTTAGGTAAACGAATTTAAAATAATTTAGATCAACCTATAATCTATATGTAATAACACCAAAGTGTAATAATAAATTAAAGAAAACACTTCACTGTCTACCGTTTTGAGACATAAACGCAAACTCCAAATCACCACCGTTACCTGCGTAACCTCGATCGTTCCTAGCCATCAGATTTTCATTAGTCAATTTCCAGTCAGCCATAGCCATCTCATTTGGAAATGCCGGAAGATTCTCGACCGTCCGATCACCACTCATCTGGTAGATCCTCGTCAATAAATTCTCCCTTAACACACTCAACGCCTTCTTGTACTCTTCCATATCCTCCTCCGGAACACTCTCCACCGCCCTCTCCCACCACATCAAACCGTCGTTATCTTCCTCTCCGTTTGCCACGTTACCTCCAGGATGTGACCTCAGCATCACCGGAGTCTTACGCAAGTATTTATCGATGAGTGAGTCCACGTTACCAAACGAGTAGATCCTATCTACTCGTGAAAACGTTATGATACCAATTTGTGCGCCGCAGAGAACGCTTAGCTCCGCCGCTTTTTTGAAAAGCCCGAATCGGCGTTTGGAAAACGTCACTTGCCTTCGGTTTTCCAGAATGATCTTCTTGATCTCTATCTTCTGTCGACCTTTGGTGGTTTTAGGGGTTTTTAGTTTAGTCTCTTTTTTTGGGTTGACCAGCAAGTTAGGGTTTTGAAGGGGGTTTTGTTTCGTGGTCGGTAAGCAAGTGATTGTTGAAGCTTCTGCCTCTCCATCCTCCATATTGAAGACAAGAATTAGAGATGATTATGAGATTACAAGAGTTCTTTGAGAGATATATTCCGATTTATATTTATATACATAGTTTTCAATCAAATAAGGAAGTATTGTTTCGTCATAATATATGCTAATTGTGGTATTAAATGCGCGTCTCAATAAGTTAACATGATTTTTGGAATGATTCCATAAAAATCAACATTAACTTTTCTTAATCTAAGTTTCGTGACATTATTTCCAAGATTTACGAGATATACTTGCTCCTTTCTACATTTTCATTTTTGTTATATATAGAAAAACTAAAGATGATGCTAATATATGATCAAATCAAATAATATATGCATATCGATATTATATTGTCAAAGAAAACACGGCCTATAGTTTTTCCAATAGGGAATTACAAAGTGGTTGCCACATGAAAGGTTCATCGACGTCCAAATCCATTTTCGTGGCCATTGTGAATATTTTATTCCGTTTCAAATTGTTTTATATTTTTCCATTTAATATATCAATTAGCCTTTAATTAAACTAGTCAACAAACTAAAAGGGGATTAATTAGCCTCTTGACAAAGATTCAAAGTAAGGTTGATAGATTAATTTAGATTTGAAAAATGGTTAGTGGAGGAAACCATGGGTTCATTAGTCAGTATATTAGAGACTGCTTATGGTTTCAAATTAAAAAGCATGCCCCTATAGCTAGGTTTTTTTGTAATTCATGTTTCGACTAATGTTTTGATATTTTTCCAATACTTTTAAATTTTTAGTTTTTTTTCGTTCTTGATTTTTTTGTTCTTAATGTATTACTTGAGTTTTCGGTTAGTTACGACGTGTTTGAAATTTAACACTTAAAATAATTTTAAATTTAAAACTTTCGGATCAACTAAAGACAGGATGCCTAGGCAGTAGGCACGGTTAGTTTTTGACGTGTATAAATAAAATATATTTAACAGCTGTTATAAATATTTTTTTCATTAAAGTTAATTAATTCCATAAAAGTTTTAGTAGATGAATAAGCAAGATATAGAAACCTTATTAAATACGGTAATTAATTGAATTTTTTTTTTTTTTGCTAAAGTAATTAATTGAACTTATGTAACAGAATAGATAATTGTGATTATAGATGTCTTACATTTATAAAGTGAGAGGTTTAAGTTTGTAGATGCAGGGAAGGGATTGTGATTTTTCATTTTTATTTCAAATATTTTGGTTAGCTTTGAAACATTATAATTGGTATATAAGAATAAAATTATTAAAAATCCTGTAAAAGAGAACCAATGATAATTTACTTTAAAATGTAAATCAAATTATTCCTTATAAATTATAATGAAACTATCGGTATGATTCGAATTCTATGATATTGCTTGGCCATAAAAAAGTAGGGGTTTTTTTTTTTTTTTAATCTCATGTCAAAAAATCCAAAACGAATATTAATTATGCTGTATGCATTTCTCAAATATACGATTCATTTAATGTGAGATATCATTAAAGATAAAATTGGATCGTCCCCGAAGAAAAAGAGAAATAAGAGATGATCGAATATTTTAAATTTAATAATCCGAGTCATTAGTTCATGACTCAGCTTAATTCAACCTGTCACTGTAAGTAATATATAAAAAAAATTAACCTATGACGAGGACAAAATTGTAAATGACAAAGCCCACTTGGCCCAATTGTCTTCCCAAGAACACGCGTATAAGAGTATTAATGCTAATAAGCAAAAATGAAAGAAAACAAAAACACAGAGCCACCTTTAAAAGTTGAGAAGTTTTACTTTGTGCCCAAAACTTATGAAAAGTTGTTATTTACACCTTTTAGTTCTGAGAAAAATGTGCGGAGGAGCTGTAATTTCCGATTACATAGATGATTCGGAGAAGATTGGGAGATCTAAGAAGTCTTCCTGGAGAAATAATGGCGTCTTTGACTTAACAATCGACGATTTCGAGGGAAATTTTGATGAATTCGCGTCGGAAAACGATGAAATCGGCGGATTTTCTATGGAGAAGCCATTTGTCTTCTCCTCTACTCGCAAACCTGCTTCTGGTGAGATATGACTTTTGTTTTCTGGTGTTTTGTTTTGTTCATCGTTTGGTTCTGTTTTCTCAACAGTTTTGAACTTTATCCATGGTTAGGCTCAGCGTCAGATGGGAAGAAGAGAAAGACTAGTCGGTACAGAGGAATCAGGAGAAGGCCTTGGGGAAGATGGGCCGCTGAGATTCGTGATCCAATCAAAGGAGTTCGAGTTTGGCTTGAGACTTTCAACACAGCTGAAGAAGCTGCAAGAGCTTATGATCTTGAAGCTAAGAGAATCCGTGGAGCTAAAGCTAAGCTCAATTTCCCTAACGAATCCTCTAGAAAGCGAAAAGCCGAGGCGCCTAAGACTGTGCAACAGATTGAGGAGAAGCATGAGGCTGATCTTGGATTGGCGGTGGCTAGCTCAGTGCCTAGTAGTAGCTGTCTTGATTTCTTGTGGGAGGAGAATAATCCGGACACGCTTCTTATCGATACACAATGGCTAGAAGATGTCATCATGGGCGATGCGAAGAAGAAACATGAACCTAATGATAGTGAAGAAGCCAACGTTAATGCTGCTCCGCTTTCGGAAGAGCTACTAGCTTTTGAAAACCAGACCGACAATGCTGCTCTGCTTTCAGAAGAGCTACTAGCTTTTGAAAACAAGACAGAATTTTTCTCGCATATGCCTTTTATGGAGGGAAATTGTGATTCCTTAACGTCTCTGAATAGTCTCTTTGAAGGAGGTAATGACATGGGTCTTTGGTCCTGAACAGTTCTATTGTAAAAATAAAATGAGTGTTTAATATTGAGTTCCTGTTCGACTTGTATGTATTTAAAGGTTGTTCTTGTCATTTTCAAATGTCAAACAAAAACAGATTGTTCATAAAAAGTTCAATGTCAAACAAAAACAGATCGTATGAATCGTGTTTTGATCTTTTTTGTTGGTTTATGAAGTTTTAAGCAGAATGTATAGAATCTTTGCGAAGAACAAAAGCTCGATTCATATTTGTGATAAAGCGCAAAATATAGTTTCGACTCAAACAAAAAGGTGCAGAACAGAAAAATCTAAGGGTCTTAAGAGAAACAAGTGAGAAGAAAAAACAGTTACGGTTCGATAACAAAAAAGCATGTCTATAACCATGTAACCATTGAGTAAAGGCTATCAACTTTACTCCCAACCAGCAGCTGGAGCACCCGGGGGTGGCACAGCAGTGTCCCATCCACCGTCTGCCGGTGCAGCTGGAACAGCAAAAAAAAAAAAAACGCAAGAAACAAAACATTAAAATCATGATTTGCAAGAATAGTGTTCACACGGTTATCTGTCAAAAACTCACCAGCGGAATCACTCCAAGAACCAGCGGCAGGTGCAGCAGAGATTGGAGCCTGAGCCTCTCCTGGCCATGCAGCATCAGGGATCTGAGCGGTGGTCCATTGGTCTCCACCAACCATTCCATATTCCGGAGCAGGAAGTCCATATTCTGCCTGAGGGGCAGCTTCATCTTCATCCTCTGGCTTAGTCTCCTCAGGCTCCCTGTAAAAGAACAGATCAACCTGTACAACAACACAACATATGTAGTAGTCGGTCAATAAACAGGAAAAGTTTAAATGAATTGTTGTCTTTTTAATCAATGAGTTCCAAAAATGATATTCCTCTTACCATGACATCCCACTTCTGTGCAGCACCAATGGTTCCACGCATCTGAAGGACCATACGAGCAAGAAGCCAGAAAAGACACCCAATGCTGTGCTTTCCCTTGTTGTTGGCAGGGATACCAATGTCAACAAATCTCATTGGAGAGTCAGTGTCACAGAAAGCAATGATGGGAATGTTTCCCAAAGCACCTTCCTTGATTGGCTGCAACACACACAAGACATTAATCAATACAACAAGACATCAACCATAACTGGTACAAATTTTATAGAAGATTTTACCTGGTGGTCAGTTCTTGGGTCAGTAAGAATCAGCAGCCTGGGTTCACTGAAGGATGTTTGCATCTGATTGGTGAAGGTACCAGGAGTGTGCCTTCCAGCAATGGCATTGGCTCCAGTGTACTGAGCAAACTTCAAGACGGCTCTCTGTCCATAGGGCCTAGCAGACTGAACAATGATGTCCTGTGGGTTCTCAATGGCAACAATAACTCTAGCAGCCATCTGGAGCTTATCCCATGTTTTGCCAAGGTTGAAGATGTAAATACCTGAGGAGGAAGAAAACTTCAAGAACTAAGTTCCTGGCACTAGCACTACTAAAACAGACTAACAAAAACAAACTCGAATCAAAATGTTCAATCCCAAAATTGACTTTTTTGTTTAAACACACATAAAGAGATACAAATCAAACCAAATGAAACATGCGTCTATACGCATTTCTTCATATACACTTAAAAACAATTTCTGCAAACAAGAACACTAAAGAAGACACAAAAACAAGCCTTTTCTTAGCTACGAATGCAGAGAAGAAGTGTAAGTGATGACAGAAACAGCTAGTTGCAGCATTTGAGCATTTTTTTAGTCATTGACGTATTTAGATCCGTCATGAATAAACTCTACTTCAGATATAAAAACAACCTATAAATCCAAAACCAAAGCAGCAGCAACAAAAACAAACAGATCATCAACATCCATACAAATCCAAAATATCAACACAGAATCTCAACACTCGAATCAACAACATAAACACAAATCCGAAATATCAACACAGAATCTCAACACTCGAATCATCAACATACACAAATACAAACACTTTTATCAAAAAAACGAGAGAAAATACCATCGTTGCGTCTCTTGAAGACGTAACGCTCCATCTGGTAATTGCAATTCTTGGTTCCAAGATGAACCTCAGCAGCACACATCATCCTGACGTCAGCTTCCTTCTGAGAGAGCTGCGCTGAGCTAGCAGATCCATTAGTCGCCATTTTGTTATCTCTCTTCTTCTTCTCCGGGAACTAATCGCCGAGGTAAGCTTTTTGCTCTGTAAATCACACGAAGAGGCGACGAAAGGCTTATAAGGGTGAAGGAATATATATCAGGCAAAACCCTAATTTGAGAAATGTCTATTCTACCCCCGAACTCGGTTCACCAATTTTAATCGAAGTTAACCAAAATTAATCACTGGTTTAAGTTCCGGTTTTTCTTAAACCGAAATCCAAGTGTGCACACAGATACAAAAGATAATTTCTATTTCTGCTCTACTTCGAAGTTAGAAGAACCCTAACATAACATAATCTCTCTCTTTCGATCGCATCTTCTTCAAAAATTTCCCACCTGTATTTACAAGTTCAATGTTTGTGAATTCTCCATTGCTCTGTTCTTAGTCGCCTTTGATTACTCTCGCTTTCTATCCGATCCAATTGTGTGATGATTTTCTCTTGAACAAGCTCATAAGGTTTCAATTTCCCTATATTTCTTGAAATTCTTCTTAAATTTCTTCAATTCTCGGGTCTTTTTTCATTATTGTGTCGTTTATTGACAGTATCTAGACAGGTTTGAGCTTTTATCTCTGGAGAGAATTCATGGGTGTCTCGTTTAAGATTTCCAAGGTTGGTAGAAAGTTTCGGCCTAAGATTTCTACTGAATTGGTTACTCCTGATTCTCCAGAACAGCTGAATTCGAAAGCAAAGGTAATTTTACTTAGAATTTTAGTTGTGTTGTGTTAAACTAAATTCACTTATATTGGAAAATTATATAGATGTAGATTACCAAATTTATTATGTTTGGTTCAGGCTACTGATGAAAGCAATGTTGGTGATGTTTCCGGGTTTTCGAAGCCATCTTTGCCCGATATATCTCCAGGTTAGCATCTCAACGAACCACTTTGACACATCTTGTTTTTGCTAAATTTTAGCTATGTTAAATTGAGTAAATTTTGGTTTCTATGCAGATCATGAAGTTTCCTTCATATTGAGCCTCTATCCAAATGGGTACTCTATAGGAAAAACCTCTGAGGTATGTAGTAGAACTTCATGTACTGAGTTGTCTATAATAATTTATTTTTTCTTGTATTTGAATTTCAACCTTTCACATCTAACAATTTTTTTTTTTACTTACCAGGCTCTGCAACAGACATCCTTTCGAGATGTTCCAAAGGTCTTACATCCGTATGATAGGGCAGCAGAGGGTCTACTTTCGGTAAACATTTTGAACTATGTTATTAGACCTGATTTCAACTTGTAATTAAAGTTTTGGTGAATGAATTCAAAGTACTGAGATTTAGTATATGTGAAAATGATGTTTTTTTTTTCACTTGTTCAACCCGAATAATGCATTTCACTGCACTACTTGCTCGCATTTTGTTAAATACACTTTCCGAGTTATCATTCTACTGAGTAAATGTTTTTAATCCCTTTGTATGCTTTATAGGCTATTGAGGCTGGCAGGCTTCCTGGGGAAATTTTGGAAGATATACCTTGCAAATTTGTGGATGGGGTGGTTATATGTGAGGTGAGTTATCTGCAGTTATTTATTGGGATAAAGCCTTCCATGACCTGCCATCTAGTCAAAGTAAAATAGTAGTCCCAAATAGTCATAAGCCTTTAAAATTAGTTCTTATCACCATACTTCTAGTTCCTGCGTTGCCTTTCCATAAGTTCTTGGAAACAGTCCAAATTTATATAAATATTCAAAAAGAGCTCTATAACTTTACTTAAAAAAAATATTATCTACACTAATCGAGATTGAAAAATGTCGTGAACGTGTTATAATTGCATGGAAGTTTGTCTTACGAACTCAATTGTACGTGTATTTGATTGTTTCTGAAACATAATGGAGGAATTGGAACCATAAGTAAACATAAAATAACTTAGTTATATTTTTTTTTTAATTGACTGCTGCGTATCATCTTACATCATCATGTTTTCTTTATTTTTTGGTACATACTATTGTAGGTGCATGACTATCGGAAACACACCCCAGCTCAAGTCTCTCCTGTGATAAATAAATTGCGCCTTAAGATGTCACTTGAGAATGTGGTAAAAGATATTCCATCAATGTCAGACAACTCATGGACTTATGGTGATCTCATGGTAATCATGGTAGCTCTTGGATTATAGGTCGTATATCTGAGCACTGAAACTATTATCTTCTGTACTGATCCTTACATCAACTGCAGGAAGTGGAGTCCAGGATATTAAAAGCCTTACAACCTGAACTCTGTCTGGATCCTGTACCCAGACTTGATAGGCTGAGTAAAAACCCTTTGTCTGCTAAAGTAATATCTCATTAAAAAGACTCCTTGTGCTTTCTCTTCTCAGTTGTTTTTTATAGTGTCTAAAATGGATTTTTTTTCCTCTACTCGATAGCTCGATTTGTCGCTTTCTACTTTACGGAGAAAGAGATTAAGGCAAATGGCAGAAGTGACAGTCATGTCTCAGAATAAGATTCATGGGAAAAAGGTTTGCATTGATCGGGTTCCGGAAAGTTCAGATCGGGGAAATATGCCAGGGCATTTGATAATGCAGCAAACCCATAACAACCAGGCTATTCAGAACCTTGGTACTAATATGCTGGTGGGATTAAGAAGTCAGCCGTTGCAAGATGCACCAAATTCCTCTCTAGCCTTGGTACCACCTCAGCAACAAAGGTACCTGGGAACTGGAAATATAAGAAACATGCAGGATCAAGGATCAAATTCTGTCAGCGTTTCTTGCGCTTCGCCTGGTGGACTAGATGTGATGCTGCCTTATGGCTCTGATAGTATGAACCCTGGTACATCTTTTCATAGAAAGAGGGAAAGTCAAGAAGGACAAATGTCTTCTATGCCTGGTTTGAATAAGCGAACAAGGGTTTCACATATGGGTCCTGATGGGGTTCCGCAGCAACAGTTAGGGCAACGCATGGATGGCCTTCATGGAACCGATACAAATTGGAAAAATACGCTTCTACAACAGCAAGACATGCTAGGCAGAAGTATTCAGTATCCAAATACAAGTACACAGAGGTTTTCACCACACCAAATGGAAGGGGTTTTGAATCAGGAAGGTGGTCCCATGCAATTTCCAGCTTCACAACAGGGGGCACCGAGATACACTTCGAAAGAGGAGCCATTTGAGACTGGTAAAATTGATGGTGGCACCAGAAACAATATTCCGGGGGGAAGTGACACAAATGATTTGGATCCGCGTATTCAGTCAAGGATGCCCCATAATGCATACATTAGATCAAATTTCCCTCAAACATCCTGGAATGTTAATCCTGGCCAGCAGATCGAAAAAGAGCCAAAGAAAGAAGAACAATTTAGTCGTAGGATATCGGCTCAAAGTCCTCGTTTGTCGGCAGGTGCTCCACCACAGTCCCCACATTCATCGAAGTCTGGTGAGTTTTCTGGTGGTTCAATGGGGACCCACTATGGAGCAGTTGCAGCAGCTCAGAAGGACAAGGCTGTTACTTCTATACCTGCTATTGGTGCCACTCAGTCAGTGGGTTCTAGTGCTAATGATGCTATGCAGCAAAGGCAACACCAAGCCCAAATGGCAAAACGGAGGACAAATTCTCTTCCTAAGACGCAAGTTATCAGCACTGTTGGTTCTCCTGTTAGTGTCAATACTATTAGTGTCCCAGTTAATGCAAGGAGCCCTTCAGTGGGACCCCAAACTTTGGGCGATCACGCAATACTGGACAGATTTTCAAAGATTGAACGAGTTGCTGCTAGGTATGAATGTTATGAAACCTGTTTTACTGATTTTATTTCCGTCAAAGTTTATATGTCAAAGTTTAAAGTTTCTTGTTCCATTTTTAGGTACCAACTAAACTGCAAAAAGCATAAGGTGGATGAGTACTCTCGAAGACCTCGCGTGTATGCTAAACAGTCCTTGACTGTTTGTTTATCGAACCTGTCTAACGAAGAGGTCTTCAAAGACGAGGACAAAGCATTATCAAAATCTATTCTTGGTGGCAGTATGAATACATGCAAGACTAGAGTCACAAACTTTTTTCATATGGAACGTGTAATGCAAGGTCTGTTTTCTGTTAACTAGATATCTGGCGATTGGTATATTTCTCTATGTGATTAAATCTGACTCCAGTATATTTTCAGGTACCGTCCCTTCCTTCGTCCCTAGAATACGAACAAAACTGGTGATGTCAGAGAAGGCCGTCGATGGGACCGTAGCATGGTATCAAGGGGACGTAGATGAAGGGGATGTTTCTCAGGCTGAAGATTTTCTCTTAGCGTTGCCCAATACAGTAAGTTAACAGGAAATTTGATAGTTATCAATCTCCCCTGCATTCAATGTTATGTTGACTTTACATTCAGTGATGTTTATAGGTTGTCGGGTCTTGTTCTTGGGGTTTATGTCTCTCTTGTGAATGTTTTGTGTAATTATGAATATGGTTGGTTGTTCTATGGATACTTCTCTCTTGTTAGTTGCTTATGCTCGTTTATCCTTCTCGTCCAATGTGATCGAAAGGGGATGGACAATGGATGATTAATTTTTCTCTTATATATGCCACTTATTTTCTGGAAGCTATGCTGACTTGCTTATTCCTCACTTTGTCACAGCACATTGCCGATCTACTTGCTAATCAATTTAAATCACTGGTATTTCTCGAGTTCTGAATCGATTATATCATGTTCCTGGTTCTATGGTAAAGCTACTTACAGATTGATTTATATGCTTATGCAGATGACCCGTGAAGGATACATGATCGAAGAACATATTCTGGCAAAGCCAAACCGTGGGGATACTGGCCCAATCAGCAACCAACCAAATTCTGCAGGTGGTTATCCAAGAGGTTACTCTGCAAACGATATGCAACAGTATGGAGATGCAGTTGCAGGGCAAGCGTCTGGCGAGGCATCAAAACAGGGGAATACTGGAAATGTGCCTAATACCTCAACCCAGAATATTCTTGCAAATGCAAGGATGCTTCCTCCAGCAAATTCTCAAGCCTTGCAATTGTCTCAAGGACTGCTGTCTGGTGTCTCCATGCCTATGCAACCACAACAGCCTGACCCACAACAGTCAGCGCTACTGTCATCACATTCACAGCAGAAAAATCAACAGTCCATGTTTACACAGCAACAGCATCCACAAATGCAGAGACCATCCATGATACTGCCTACAAATCCACTATCAGCCATCAACTCGATTGGCCAGAGCTCTGGTATGCAGCCGGGTGGTCAGATGGCCAACAAGTATTCGCCTCTTCAACTGCAGATGTTACAGCAGCAGCAGCAGGCGGCAATGCAGAAGAAGATAATGATGGGGCTAGGATCAGGTGTAGGCATGGGTATGGGTATGGGCATGGGCATGGGTATGGGGAGCATGGGAAATAGTATTGCTGGGCTTGGAGCTTTAGGCAACCAATTGAATATGGCAGGAAGAGGGATTGGGGGAACCGGAATCTCATCATCAATGTCTGTTCCTGGCATCGGTAATATGGGCCAGAACCCAATGAATCTGAATCCAGCATCAAATTTGAATGCTATAAGCCAGCAACTCCGATCCGGTGCGTTAACACCCCAACAAAACGCTCTGTTTACACAGATTAGGATGGGCATGGCAAACCGAGGAGGTGTAATGGGTGCTCCTCAAGCCGGGATAAGTGGCGTGTCAGGTACGAGGCAGATGCACCCCAGCTCAGCTGGTATATCCATGTTGGATCAGAATTCATTAAACCGAGCTAACCTGCAGCGAGCTGCTGCTATGGGTAACATGGGCCCACCTAAGCTGATGCCTGGAATGAATCTCTACATGAATCAACAGCAGCAGCAGCAACAACAACTCCAGCAGCAACCCCAACAACAACAGTTGCAGCATCAGCAACAGTTACAGCAGCCTATGTCTCAGCCATCTCAGCAGCTAGCTCAGTCTCCGCAGCAGCAGCAGCAGCAGCAGCTACAACATGAACAGCCTCAACAAACACAGCAGCAGGCAACAGCATCCCCTCTTCAGTCTGTGCTATCACCAGCCCAAGTAGGTTCGCCATCAGCTGGAATTACCCAGCAGCAGCTACAACAGTCCAGTCCCCAGCAAATGAGTCAGAGAACTCCAATGAGTCCCCAGCAAATGAACCAAAGAACTCCTATGAGTCCTCAGATAAGCTCGGGTACAATGCATCCCATGAGCACAAGCAACCTCGAGGGTTGTCCAGCGAGTCCACAGCTTAGTTCTCAGACAATGGGATCTGTTGGTAGCATCACCAATTCTCCAATGGAGCTTCAAGGTCCCAAAAACAACTCTGCTGGTAATAATTCCTGATCAAGAACACTATAATTATGGGTAACATTATTTATATTCAGGAACCCTTTGCTTCACAACATGAGTTGTTATCTAATTAGGGACAAGCAGAGAAAGAGTTTTTAGTTCACCGTCTTACGTTTTGCTTGTACATTAGGCTTTTGAAATTTAATATAGATTCATGACCAAAGCCTGTAAATGAAAAAGTTAAGAATCTGTTGTGCTCTGCAAGTGAAAGTGCCATTATTATTAGGTTGTTGATATGTAACCACTGTCTGCTTCAGACTATTTGGAAGTTTTTGTTTAAGCTTAATAATTAATCTGTTTTGTTCAATTGTTGTGCTTTGCCACTGCTACCCTTGTAAAGATAAGAAGTAACTTTTGATTTGTACACTACAGTTTCAGCTATGATTTGTTGGGAAAAAAAAAAAAAAAAAATTTCGTTGCACAACCAGATGCTCTTGAATATGTGAATTTGCATCAATATAGAAGAATATGTGAATGTGAGAAGGCCAGAAACACATGCGATTTTCAAAACTGGCAAAATAACAATGTAGTTACAAAAATCGTGTTCACTAAACAAAATGTACACACAACATCGAAGAAGTTACCAACCAGTTCGTCGGGAAAAAGACCCGTCTTTGAAATCTGCGATATGATACCAAAAATCTTGTACAGATTTTGGAAACATCAAAAGAATCTGTCTCTTTTCTCTCTTTACCCACGCAACTCAATCCTCATCCAAGTGTCGCTGCCTTCGAATCATTTCCTTTGCCACGGAATGTGGAGAGCGAGAAGAACGACTTTTGCGCTGGAAAGGAAGAAACAATAGGATTCATTTAAGGGAATAACGAATGGAGAAATCTTGCATTCTGTATGAGTGAATATGCAAGAAAAGAAAAAACAAGTTTTGACCTTTGAAGTTGCTTCCAGACATTTGATGATCATCTTTCAGCTCAGGTATAGAGATGTTAGAAGCTTGAAGAAGAAAGACAAGAACAACTAAATATGTAAAGAGCTCGTGATAGCATTAAACATAGGAGAGGGAAGAAAGCAATATTATTTTACCTTGTTCAGGGAATTCGCTCTCATTAAATCCATCCTCAGAGAGATGACTCTGTAGAGATCCCATTCTCGACTTTCTTAAATCCTCTGATGATCGATCCGCAAAGTCTCTCCTATCTTCAACCTCATCATCTCCTTCCGAAGTCGTTACAGATACCCAATCCATCATCAAGCTTTCTGCTCCGCGGCTTTTTCTTCCAAACTTTAGCAACCGTTTAAACCCTTTACTTAAATCCTTCTTTGACTGGAACTGAGACGTATTATTAGCAGCAGCAACGGTAACAGGACTCTGAGCCGTTCCCCATTTCTTTCTCATCCGAGAACTCCAAGAAGCAGGGCTTCCCATGGGAGAATCCACAGAAGCATCAACATCAGACGAGTTCTCATGAGGATAGCTGAATGAGTGTTGCAGGTTTGTGTTCCAAGAAAGAGGACTTTCCCCAGGTGAGTCCATTAACGAGGCAAGCAATGTCGTAGGCACAGTAGCGGGTAAAAAACTACAATTCTCTTCTCCTGAATGATCAACTTTCTCGTATGCTTCGCTTAGTGTTGGATTCCCATCCTCAAACACCAATGTTTCCAGTTCTTCCACTTCTTCTTCTTCGTCTTCTCTAACAGCATTCTCCAAGACTTCTTCTGCATCAGCTTCAGGTTCATCATATTCTTCATTTCTCAGATTGTCAGATATATCAGAGTCCACTCTTAGAGGGGCCATCATATCATCAGAGCAGAGAGTGGACAGTTCCGTAAAATCTATGTTCCCAGAGGAGCTTTTCCTTAATGATCGAGGTCTTTGGAGAAGTGTATCTTCCTTGGTATTCTTGGTGCGACCACTACTTCTCACCTGTGATCGCATAGTAGTTTTGACAGCTAAAGAAGATGGTTTCGTGTTTTCTTTTATAAGTTCAGAAAAATTTGGAACAGATTGTGCAAGCGACTTGTCTGATCTTCGCCTCCCAGAAGAGGTGTTTGAAACTTTACCTGATGGTTTCGGAACCGATGCTGCGGTTCGCGGGGTGATAAAAGAAGGCATGTTCCTGTTGGGCTGAAGCTTTCTAGCTTGGGAAATCCGAGAAGCAATGTTGCCAACTAATTGCGGTTGGCCACTGGCTGCTTTATCTTTTGCCCGAGGTTTCTGTTCAGAGCAATCTTCATCTTCTTCGCTCTGGAATGAGTTTATAGGATGCTGCCAATAAGACAGTATCATCAATAACAAGTCTTCACAATTTGGAAACGGAGGAAGAACATTTCTAATGGACCTAAGAACATTTCTAATGGACCTAATGCTAAGTTACCTGGTACTTTTTCATACTTGACCGAGAGTTAAAAGACCTAAATTTCTCTGCACGCTGACGAGTACTTGAAAGCAAATCTCTTCTCTCAGAAGATGTAGCAGAGAGCTTAGCTTTCATCTCGGTCCTACTTTGCTCAAGAGCCTCTTGCATCGACTTCAGTTTTGTTTCCTTCTCACCTTTTTTCAAACTCCATTCTTCTCTCAGTTTGGCATCCCTTTTCTTCATATACGTCTCGTAAAACTTTCCTTTAGAATCATCTGTAAGACTAAGGTCCGATAAATTCCGTCGCAGTGCATCCTCTTTGTCTTTTTCACAAACCAAGGGAGTCATAAGCTTTGAGAGATCAGCAGAACCGCCACCAAGAGAAAGCCTTTTTTCTGCAGCCACTATAGAAAGAGATGGTTCTGGGTGTGCAACTTGGGTTTCACTTGGCTTACCACGTCTGGAAGAACTTGATTGATCTCCTGGAACCCGGAGTTTATGCTCAGCAAAAAGTTTTTCAAGCTCATTTGCCTTCATTTTCAACTCATCATTAGCCCCCGGATTTTCCTTTAACAGTCTTGTCCTCTGTATTTGATCCACCGATGCAGTGGGAAACCTATTACTGTTAGCTCTAACCTGCCTGCCCTCCTCATCGTCAGGACCATCCCTCACATTAAAATGTGGTTTATGAGATAACACTGGTTGTTCGTCTGATGGAACCACTTCTTTCTTCTTGATCCTGCCAAAAGAATATCTAGACTGCGGTTGAGAAGCCAAATCCTCCTTAAAACTAGCTTCTATATGGGCTGACCGAGATCGTGTATGTCGAGAAGGAAACATGGCTGATGATTGTGATACATTGTTGGCTTTGAGTTCATAACCCTCCTCTCTCTGTCTGGATTTAGCATCACTCATGACATTCCGTAGCCTATCGACATGACTATCAGTCTGGTTTTGTGAAGCAGAAGAGTCATTCGAACCAATGACTGATCTGGACTGAGCATCAGAAGTTGCTTCAACTCCTGAAACCAAACTCTTTTCAGTGACAGTTTTGGAACTCTCGACTCTATCTCGAGAAGCTTCTTCACCACCAACTTTTTCGGAGTCACTCTTCAGCTCATATTTGACCTCATCGCCTTTTTTAACGCTTTCATTGAAATCAGTTAAAGATATGGTATGAGGAACAGACAAAGAAGTCGAAGAGGGATCCCCCAGGAAACTCTCCAACTTCTTTTCCGATGCCAAATCAGTGCTCATGTCACTCACAATACTGCTTCTTCTCAGGATAGGTTTCTCAGAGGAAGAAACATCCGAGGAGAGTCTCCTCAACTCGGTGGATTTAGTAACAGATACAGGTTTGCTTCCCCCAGAGGGTGAGTTTTCCTTCTGTTTGTTTTCAAAGAGGTTAATTCTATCCTGCACACTGAGTCGTCTTGTGTGTTGGCTGCTCTTAACTGTAGAAGAGGTTACATCCAAACTCTCGTCACTTTTTTCCTCTTCATTCCTTTTGGTGGTACTTGTCGTAGCACACTGTTGAATTTGATGTTCTGATTCGTTTACCACATTTTGCTTCTGGCGCGTGCTATCTTTTTGGAGGCTGACATTGTCAACACTAGCCAAGTGATTCGAGAACTTCATGTCAATCAAGTCTGGCCTTTTCTTCCATAGTGAGATATATTTACTGCATACTTCACTGAGAGAAACATTCAAATTCGATCAAATAACAAAACATGAAAGAAAGGTTTAGTCAAATGAAAAATAATAAAAAACAGTAAAAGGCTTACTCCAAATGATGTGCACCAAATCTTTCAGCAAATTGTTGGAGTTCGGAAAGAGTATGAGGATCGAAACCGCTAGCTGATGCATGAGAAATGGACGTTGTTAAGTCCTTTATAATAGCTTCAAGTCTTAAGTCTATAGCCCTTAAGAGCTCCTTCCTGAAAATAGAGAAGAAAAAGTAATCAATAAAAACTTTATATACATGCACAACAAACATAAAGGCAGAATAGCTTTACTTTGTGGCATCTGCTGCAGCTCCATCATCTGAAACGGAATGAAATAGGATTCAAATTGATGTTCAAGATCAGTATTCCCCGGAACGAAAAAAAGATACGAGCAATGTAACAACAGTAAAATCAAACACACCTAATGCACCAAACTTTGAGTCTTCGCTCCGCTTTAAGAACCAAAAAAAAAAAAAGACAACAGAAATTTAGGAAAGATCGGTCAAGAATCACAACAGAAGTCAAGTTTCAAAAATAGTGCTTTCAACCTGCGAATATAATGTCCGAGCTGCTTCCAACTGCAACATCTCTGAATAATATGTATTGACCTTTTCTAGAGTTTCTGGACTACTAACAAACTGAACAAATCTGAAAGATAAATGGTGGAAGAAACTATTACTATATCGAAAAAAGGCTGTGCGCAAAGAAACAAAAATGATATTGAATTTTCTGTAATAAACCTCTCTAATGTTCTTTTAGTAAACCAAGTGTTGCTTTTCTCCACCTCCAATCTAATAGAGGATTGAGCAACAGGCGAATATTGTGCTTCAAGAACTTTCAAATGATTCACAAAGGGTTGGATCAACCCCGAAGCTAGCTTCTCTGTCTGTTCATTGCTTGATACAAACAGTTCACATCTGTCAAAAGAAAAACACGCTTCTTTATACAGAACAAACTAGAAATCAGGATATCTTGAAGTGGAACATATACTAACCTTGAATGCTTTGGCGACAATTCGAATATTGCATAGTCAAGAACCGTATCTGACCTCATTCTCACAAGACCAGATTGCTAACCAACCAGCAGAAATATCACTGAGAGTAACAGAATCCAACTGAAAAAAACTCAAATTTATGCCAAGAAACCTGAGGAGACAATAATAGAAACTGTTACTCAGAGATTAAAAAAGCCAACTTGCTAACAATCTTGAAAGCAAAAGACTAATGAAACTTTAATCGGAAACAAAGAATCCCGGAAATGGAAAAGGT